CCGGGGTCCCGGGGAGGCTGGAGCGCGCTCCGCAGCACCTGGGAGAGCCTGACCGGCCGGTGGTGGACTCCCCAGGGCGGGCCCCCCTTTGCTCTCTCGCACCTCAAGTTCTTGCAGTCGGTGGGACAGCGCTGCCGCTGACCATGCCGTCTTTCCTGGAAGAGAAGTCGGCTCTCCTGTCGCTGTCACCCACCGACTCCCCGTCTCCCGTCCTGAGCCACCCAGAGCAGGTTGACGCCCCTGGCGGGCCAGCCCTGGAGAGATGAGAGGTGGCCTTTAGGTGCCCCCTGAACGGCTTTAACAGACCGGAATCCTCCAGGGCCCTTGTCGTTTTTCAAATTGGAAGTTTGGTTAAGACACAAACTGGTTGCCCGTGTTCAGTCACCCACATGACCTCTCCCCTACCCCAGGTTGGGGTGAGAAACAGGACCTCTCTCTGAAGTCTTAGGGAGGGGCGTGTGCAGTATGTTCTTGTTCTCTCTTCCCCCTCCATGTCTCCAAAGCCGTGAGCTGAAGTGTGTGAAGTGCTCGGAAGGCCTGCCCGTGGTGGTGATCCGAGCAGGGGACGCCTTCTGCAGGTGAGGCCTGGGGGAGGATAGGAGACCCTGGCAGAAGGGCTTGCTCAGAAGCTAGGATTGCCTTCCTTTCTGTGTGGGTACCAGTCTCCCACTGTTCAACTGAGGATCAGGTGGCAGAAAGGTATATGAGGGCACTTAGGAGGAGAGCTGGCAGAGTGAGTGAGGTGCAGGCGGGATAGCGTTTCTGGGCAGCTGGAACACATCGCAGGGCGATTTGGAGCATCCTGGAACCTTGGGCAGGTGCCCCGGGTGATGCCTGTTTTACTTGTGAGGGACAGAGGAGTGGAAGGTGGGCTCAGCCTTCCCCTGCCTCGGGCGAGGGGCAGGTCCTTTATACAGGAGCAGAGACTTATTCTCAGAGGGGCCTGGGCACCAGCTTGTTCTGTTTTATCTGAAGCTCTGCTGTGCCCCTGTCACATCGCCTTTGAATCAAAACTCTTCTGTGTCTCATTACTCCACTAGATTCACAGCTCCAGGAGGGCAGGGCTGGTCTCCCGTTTTACCCCTGTTAATTCCTGGTGATGTTGCACGCTTTGTATAGCAAATGAACATTTGTTGAGTGAGTGATCAGCTCCCATCTTTAAATTGGTCTCCAAGAGTATCGGGCTCTGCTTTCTAAAACGTTCCAAAAAAGAAACTGAAGGGACTGAATAAATTGTTTTCCAAAAACTTTCTCGTCCCCGAACATCTTTTAGGAGCCTAGTAGATTTGGTGTGTGCTCAGTAGGACGAGGTGTATGCCACCAGGAAATACATTTTAGGCAAAGAAGCCACTGCTTTAATCACTTCAGAGCATCTAAAAAGGATGATCCCTCCAATCTGCTTGGAGAACTTGCTGATAAGAGGACAGACTGCAGCAGCTCTAGGCAAGGCCTGCAGGACTTCGGGGCCCAGAGGCTCCCCCCTGCGCTTGCTCAGTTTTGGGAAAAGGTGGGACGCTGACTTTCTGGTTGTAGGTTTTGGCAGTCTAGGTCTTGAACATTTTCCTCAATGATTGTGAGGATCGGCACAGGTGGGAAACGCTGGGCTGACCCAGAGGGAAAGTGTGGTGCAGGGAGGACGTGGAGTGGGGTAGCCACGGGGGGATTCCCCCCACCTCCTCACCGCAGTGTCTGTGTCTGCTGGGGGAACCTCACCACATCCAGCTTTCCTGGGAGTCACTTCCTACGGCTGGTCACTTGGGGTCCCTAGAGCTCCAGCATTTTGCAGTCAAACACTGAATTGAGTTACCATCCTCAAAAGACCTGTGGGTGTTTGGTTGGCTCATTATAAGGAGTTTCTGTTCAGTTTTGGGGGGGTTGTTGTGGACACAAGGTTAGCTAAGCAGGAAAAAGGAAGCAGACAGTGCATAACCCCAGGCATGGGGCAGTTTTGGGGGTACAGTGTTGCCTCCTCTGTTCAGGGTGCTGTTCTCCACCCAGGCTGTCAGGGGAGCTTTAAAAAGCAGATGCCCGGGCCTCATCCCAATATATTGTGATGTAGTCAGTGATTCTAATGTGCAGTCAAGGCTGACCACCTCTGACCTAGTGAGCCCGAGAGTCAGCTGGAAGTTTTACCGAGAACGCAGGTTCCCGGGACCTGCCCTGGAAGTTCTGATCTGTGGGTTTGGGGAAGAGCCCAGGACTCTGCGTTTCCGGGAGCTTCCTGGGCATTTCTGGTCCCAGCCGGATCAGAGCACTAGAGAAGGGCCTGTGTGGAGCTTCAGGCCTCAGGGCTCCTGCAGCCTTCTCAGTGTTTCCCCCTTCACCCCAAGAGGTGGTGCTTTTCTCCGTGGGGGTTTTGGAAGGGGTCATCAACTCTGCTCAGGGAAGGGCTGGGTGGCCTTGTCCTGCGCCTGCCTATGTCCATCTGTTCCACCAGCTGGGCCTTTCTGAGCGCCTGCCAGTGCAGGTGGCACCAGGGTCCTGGCCCTTCAGTCATCGGTTCACACTGGTAAGGATTGTAGGGGTGATGCAGGTGGGCCTTCCCATGTGGTAGGCTCATCTTGGGGCAACCATATCTGGTGAGAACCCCTCCATGCCGACGTCGGGGCGGAGCCTCATTGTCAAGATGCTTCTTTTAAAGATGGGAGTTGGTAACTGAGCAGGCATCAGGCTGCCCCCCTGCAGAGGCCAGTATTGGCTTCCCTCTCTTGGCATGGAGGTAGGCAATGTGGGCCATATGGCTGCAGCCAGTGGTGGTTTGTGTTGCAGGGACTGTTTCAAGGCGTTCTACGTCCACAAGTTCAGAGCTGTGCTTGGGAAGAACCGGCTGATCTTTCCAGGAGAGAAGGTAGAGTGTGGAGTGACTCCTCTGTGGAGTCCCCTACTTGGCAGTTTGGCCCCCCGGGCCCTGGCTCTTAGCCCGTGCCACCCTTCCTGCAGGCAGCCTGTCCCAGCTGCATCCTACCAGCTCCTCCCGCTGCCCTGTGCCTGGGCTCTGAGAATGGACCCATGCCGGGATATCCATAGTGGAGGGGGGTGGGGGCATGCTCATGTTGGAGATGTGGTGCCCTCCAGCAGTGTTCCTTCTTTCCCAGGTGCTCCTGGCGTGGTCTGGGGGGCCTTCGTCTAGCTCCATGATCTGGCAGGTCCTTGAGGTGCGTCTCCACACTGTTCTCCTGTGCCCAGGCCACCACCCAACCGAGCTTGAAGGTGGAGGGTCAGCACCAAGGGGCTCTTGTTTAGAAGTAGAGAGAGCAGCCCTGGAGGGCGCCTGGATGTGCATACAAGAGGTGCACAAGCCCGGAGCTGCGTCCGTCCGGAGTACCCAGCTGTGTCCCAGTTTAGCACTCTGTCCATTTGCTCTACTGTAGAAACATAATCACTGGGAAAAGCATGTCCTGGGGGCACAGCAGGGCGTCACTCAAGGTGGCCTTGAAGCCATGGGCCTTCTCTCATCCTGGGAGTGTGTCTGGGGCAAGACATTGAAATAGAAGCAGGTGTCTTGGGAGACAAAAAGTGGTTTGGCCCTGTCAGCTTCTTTGAGAAGTTGAAGAGAAGGGGGAGGGATGCTGCCAGGGGAAGCAGTGTTGGTAAAGACAGCTTATGTCGAGGTGGGGACGGGAGAAGAAGGAACACTCCTGGTTGTGTTGGCCTGCCCGGATCACTGTGGGGCAGTTATGGTTTCTCCCGATGGTGCTGTGGAGGCTTTGGCCAGGGGGTGGGACACACATGACCTGCACTGCCTGTGAGGGGTGTAGACTGGAGGGACTGGGGACAAGGCTGCAGCCGTGGGGTGGTCTGTATGGGATCCTGGGAGGTGCCCAGAGCTCGAGCGTGGTGCGTCTGCTCTCACTTTATGTCCCCTAAACCTGGCTGGAGGATCTGAGATAAGCGCCTGCTCCCTCAGATGTTTGTCCAGCACGTGGTGCCCTTCCATCTGAGCAGCAATTTCTTGCTTTTGTCCTGTTGTCCTGTTCCATGCTGAGCAGCCAGAGGAGGGTGGGTAGGGGGCATGGATGGCCATGTGGATCCAGCTGCTTTTCGGGGCACTGCCAGGAGCAGGAACAGACGGGAGGGCGGGCTTTACAAGGGAGAGTGCAGACACCCAGGCAGTTTGAAGTGAGTCAGGCTATGCGGCTTCCCTCTGCAGCCTCTCCACTACAGGGGGGTCATTGCCCCTTACAGAGAAGGGTTTCTGTAGGGAGTGTCCTGTGGCTTCTAGGCGTGAGGCTGAGGCCGGTCCCTTCCCCTCTCCAGGGCCTGAGTCGAGATTCTGCCAAAAGACTGCGTTTTGTGCCAGGGGTTGTCTACGTTGATGGTACGTGTGGCCTTTTTTCTCTCCAAGATCCCAACTGCTTGGTGCAGGCACCCTGAAACAGCTGGCACTGTGCCCACACCCAGGCCCTGGAGACAGTGCATTTGTCCACCAACAGATGGCACTGCTGTTGTCATAAGTCAGACCATCAGAGAGTCAGGCAGGAGCGTCGGCCTGGCTGCCTCTGCAGGATCTAGGGCACTGAGTGAGATGGTTGAGTTCACTGCCCAAGGGGCTGGATGCTAACCTGCCCCACCTCCCCTCCCCACCTCGTCCCTCGGCCACTACAGAAAACCCACTGCCCACTCTGCAAACACTCCTCCAAGGAGGTCTGCAGCCTGTGGTTTCTACAGAAGCTGCTGCTCTGCAGAGCACAGGCTCAAGGGATCTCATGTGTTGGCCTGTCCTGCCTGCCTGGGCTTGTCTCCTACAAGCCATGACTCCTTTCTTTCTGCCTTTTTCAGAGGGAGCAGCCTGTGGACAGAGCCCGGAGGACAGAGCCAAAACCCTAGCCGAGATGAAGCTGATCCTGCAGACAGTTGGTTTTCCCTGGCACATTGTGGCCTTAGAAGAGGTACGTGGGCCCACCCCTGAGAAGGACCTCCGGAGGTGCCCGCTGGGATGTCCACGAGGAGCGCATGCCCACTTGGGGCCAGGCTGTGGGCCTCTCGCCGGGGCCGCGCCTCGCTATATACAGTGGTGGGCCGGGGCCTCATACAGCTTCTCCACCCTCCCCTGCCCTGCAAGGTGTTCGGCCTGCCGCCGTCCGTGCTTCGCCACCTTGCCCAGGAGCCCTCGGGGACCAAGGGGGCCTATAAGGCAGCTGTGGACAGTTTCCTCCAGCAGCAGCACACACCCGCCCAAGGGGAGGAGCAGCTGAGCCAGCCTGGCTCCCAGGACCCCCAGAGCCCAGCTGGGCTACCCACAGCTGCCCAGACCGAGGCCCAGGCACCCACAGCTGCCCAGACCGAGGCTCAGCCACCCACAGCTGCCCAGACCGAGGCCCAGGCACCCACAGCTGCCCAGACCGAGGCTCAGCCACCCACAGCTGCCCAGACCGAGGCCCAGGCACCCACAGCTGCCCAGACCGAGGCTTTATCTAGACTCTTCGACTCAGTGAAGACACTGACAGCCAAGCAGGAGCTTCTTCAGACCCTGCGGTGAGCTCTCCTCCCCCACCCCCCCAGGTCCTGGCCCTGTCCTACCTGTGTCTGAGATCCCTTGCCCTGCTCTGCAGAACGCACTTGATTCTGCACGTGGCCCGGACCCATGGCTACTCCAAGGTGATGACGGGAGACAGCTGTACTCGCCTGGCCATCAAGCTCATGACTAGCCTGGCGCTGGGGAGAGGGGCCTTCCTGGCCTGGGACACGGTACTCAGGGGCCAGGCTGCCCAGGGGCCCCTCCCACCCTCACCCTTTAGGCCCTTTCACTTGAAAGTAGTACCTTGTGAATCAGTCTTGGGGTCTTCCTCATGGAGGGAGGAGCCTGACACCCCTCAGCTGGCAGGGAAGGAGGGAGCTATAGCCCTGTCGGCTGGGTACGGGGAAGAACATACCCCCTTCCCCTCCCCAGGGCTTCTCTGACGAGAGGCATGGTGACGTGGTGGTGGTGCGGCCCATGCGCGACCACACACTGAAGGAGGTCGCCTTCTACAACCGCCTGTTTGCTGTGCCCTCTGTCTTCACACCAGCTATCGACACCAAGGTAACTTGCAGGACAGGGCAGAGGCTGCCAGCACGTCTTCGGCAGCGTAAGCTGTGTCCACACCAGCCCTCTAGCTTCAGTGCTTGCCACCTGGTACCACAGTGGCGCCCCTATGTCCCCCAGCATCCTTGGAGCGTATACAGGCTATCCCTTGGAGTTGGAGGACAGGTTGGTTGGTGCCTTCGAGGCGGAGAGGGCTCACAAGGAGAGGGAGTTGCCACACCCTGGTACCCATCCCTGGGAAGGCGAGGTGCCCCGCTTGGGGGGAGGGGGGGTCATGGACACGGGGAAGGGGATGATGGAGGGGCAGAATGACCGTTGTCAGAGGTACTTAAAATTTTGACATAATTTGTGTGTGTGTGTGTGTGTGTGTGTGTGTGTTTCTTTATTAATCCTCACCCGAGGATATTTTTTCATTAATTTTTATCGAGAGTGGAAGTGGTGCGGGGAGAGAAACATCGATGTGAAAGAGACACATTGATTGGTTGCCTCCCACACGCACCCAATTTGGGCGGGGCAGGGAGGGAACTCGCAACCCAGGTGTGTGCCCTTTGACCAGGAATTGAACTGGCATCACTTTGGTCATTGATTTCAGAGAGGAAGGGAGAGGGAGAGAGAGATAGAAACGTCAATGATGAGAATCATTGATCAGCTGCCTCCTACATGCCCCACACTGGGGATTGAACCTGTAATCCGGTCATGTGCCCTGACCAGGAATTGAACTGTGACCTCCTGGTTCATAGGTCAGCGCTCAACCACTGAGCCACGCCAGTTAGGCTGTAATTTAATTTTTAATAATGGCCGTGTTGAGAAGTGTGTGCCTGATTCACTCCAGTCCCAACATGGCCGACTCTCAGGAGCTGACTGTGGAGGAGCCCATGGCCCCTTGGCCAGGCCTGGGGGCTGCTCCTCTACACCAGGGCCACTCCAGCCCCCCGTCTGATTGTCCCTAGGCCCCTGAGAAGTCCAGCATCCACCGGCTTATGGAAGCCTTCATGCTCAGGCTGCAGGCCCAGTTCCCCTCCACAGTCAGCACTGTGTACAGGTGTGTGTTTGTGCCGGGGAGTGGGAGTGGGAGCGTAGGCACTGAGCTCACCACCCTGGGGCTCAGGTCAGGCAGGAGCCAGGCTCTGGTTAACCAGTGGTGCCTCTGTGCCCTGTCCTCACACTTCCAGGACGAGTGAGAAGCTGGTCAAGGCCCCAAGGGATGGCAATGCTGGTGGCCCCCCAGACCCCCGCTGCCTGCTCTGCATGTGTGCACTGGACATCGACACTGCTGGTCTGTGCTGCATGTTCTCGGGGTTCATGGGTGGAAGGGGTACCAGTGAGTGGGTATTGGGGTTTATCAATCCTGAGGTCCCCTCAGTTTATTTCTGCTTACAGATAGTGCCACGGCTTTTGGGGCCCAGACCTCACATCTCTCCCAGATGCAGCCCCCCACCGCACCAGCTGAGGCACCCACAACACCCTGCTGCTCTGCAGGGGTGGGCAGGGCCCAGGGCTGTTGCCGGGGGGCTGGGCCCTGCGGGAGGTGAGTCTCTTTCCTGATCCACCCCACCTCATGGCTGGTCCCTTGTAGCTACACAGAGGGTGGTGGTACACCTGGGACCAAGCCCTCGGGCCCTGCACTGAGGGGCCAAGACCAGGCACACAGGTCCAGCTCTGCTCTCACAGGGAGGACCCCCGAGCCAGTGTCATCGAGCAGCTATGCTACGGGTGCCGTGTGAACATGAAGGACTTGGTGAGTGGATCCTGCCTTGTGTTGGTGATAGGGGAGGCCCTCCCACTCTTGGGGTGAGGGTGCAGGTTGGCACTGGCTTAGCTTTGTGCCATGTAGCCCATCACTCATGCCGGCTCTCTGTTGCAGCCTTCCTTGGACCCCCTGCCACCCTACATCCTGACTGAGGCCCAGCTCCGTAGCCAGAGGTACTGGTACCTGCTGTGCTGGGAGCCCTGGGAGGGGTCCTGGATGTGAGCACCTTTGGGCTGATTCCCACTATGTGGCTTCCCCCAGGGCCTCGGTCTTGCAGGAGATACAGGAGTATCTGATTGACAGTGATGATGAGGCGCAGACCGGTGAGAGCTGAGCCTCAGGATGGACCCCGGGACCACCCCGCCTGGACCTCTGCCATGCTGGAGCAGGACACAGGGATGGGCAGGCAGCGTGCTGTCATCCGTTCGTATAAATAAAAGTTTTAATTAAAAAAACTCTACAGTACGTGTGGAGAAAGGAGGGCTGGGCCCCTGGCCAGTGTGTCTGGCACTGGGCCCTGCAGGGACAACGGAAAGGGACAGCAGTCCTGTGCTGGGCCGTGGAGGGGCCACAGCTCCCTTCTGACAGCAGCATCAAGGCTCAGTGGGCCAGGAGGACCTGTCACAGCTGGTGGCCTGGGACTGGAGTATCTGCTCCTGTGGCCTGAGGAGCACTGCCCTCCTTCCTGGCAGGCCGGCTCCTTCATTCACGTGCACACGGAGCCTGGCTCCTACTCCTTTTCGCGGGTCCACTTGATCATGGTCTCCGGTGAGCGGTAGAGGAAGATGAGCTTGGCGTATAGCTCCTCTTCCAGCTCCAGCTCCCGCGTCTCCCGCACCAGGAAGATGTCCTGGCAGAGCTTGAGGATTCGGTCCACACACGGCAGCTCCTCAAACATGATGGAGTGTGAGATCTCACTGAAGAAGCCGCGCACAAACTTGCCGATGACCAGCACGATGGACACATAGAGCCCCATGATCCTGCCAGGCAAGTGCGGGTGAGTCCTGGGGGCTGCTACCCACGGCCGCACCCCAGCCCCCAGGCCCACGGCACTGCACACTCACCCGTAGCCAGCCAGGAAGCCCAGGCTGGGTGGGCTGACCTTGTCGTTGAAGATGACCATGGGCAGCAGGTTGCAGTCAGCCTGGCAGTCCTGTAGCTCGATGACCCACCACTCAAGGAAGCCAGCATCCCCCGAGCCCACACGCTCCCTCCGCAGCTGGATGCGCACGCCGAGGTAGTCCGCCTCCTCGTCTGGATCAGAGCGGTGAGAGAGTCAGGCCACACCCTCTCCCAGGGCAGAGGCCATGGCCCAGCACCACCTTCCCCCAAACACACTCACTGGGCTGCAGCTGCTTCACGGGGTTAGCTTCAGGCCCGTTGGGGGCACGGATGTACTTGGGAAAGAGGTTAGGGATGACCCTGTGGGGAGGAATCCAGTGGGTCAGGTCTGGCCCAGCCTTCCTGGTGCCCCCAGGCCCCTTGGTCCCCACTCACACGGACTGGTCCGAGGTGCCCTCCAGCAGGCTGGCCAGCTGCCACCGCTCAGTGCTATTGGGGGCCAGGTCCAGGGTGTGCTTCTCGTTGGTGTACTCCACAGTGCCTCCCTTGGCCAGGTCCCTGCAAGCAGGGGTGCAGCGTGACCCACCGAAGCGTGTACCCCACCCAGGCCCTATCCGAGCCCAGGACGTACCTCTGGAAGTTCCAGGTGAAGCGCACGGTGATGTCGGCAGTGCCGTTGTACAGCTCCCGCTTCATCTGGGCCCTGCTTGGCGGGCTGATGCGCCACAGAGCCCCGGAGCTGCCCTCGATCTGCGCGGTGACGATGTCCTCAGGGCTGTACTGGCTGATGAACTGCATGGCCAGCTGAGCACAAGACGGCGCCTCAGTGGGGTGAAGCCAGGCCACCCCCCCAAAAGCCATCCCTTCCCCTGCCAGGCCGATGCAATGTGGGGGCTGCTCACCGGGTGGGGGTCAAACTGCCTGGACAGCTCCTCATAGGCCTGCTGTGTGAAGGGCACGATGGACGGCTGCTGGGCGCTCATGGTGAACAGGGGCTGAGGGTGAAACAGGGTGACATGGTGCTGGGGGAGCCTCCCTGACTCCCCAGGTCGCCAGTACGCAGCTCACGCTCTGCATAGTCCATGAGGACCAGAAAGGGAGGAGCGGGAATTGGGGCTGCCTGGCCAGAGCCCTCAGTGTGCGGGCAGAGCTTGCACCTGCACTGCTTCCCGTTCTGGCGAAGGTGGCTGCTCACCTCATAGCCCCCCAGCTTGAGGGTGACGGTGACGTCGATGGGCTGGTTGACAACACCGACAACAGAGCGCACCAGAGACATGAAGAGCAGCGGGAACCAGATGATGGCCACAAGGAACAGGATTATAAGGCCGCCCATGCCATACTTAACGATCTTCTTCTTCTTCTGCCCCTTGGGCTGTGGGTATTTCTGTGGGGGGACAGTACGGGTCAGCTGCTCAGCACCACCTTCCCAGTGCCCTGCGTCGTGGAGGCCTCCATCTCTGCTCCCTGCCACAGTGCTGTCTCAGACCCCTCCCTCCCTCTGCTCCCAGAGCTGCCCTCCACGCCTCACCTTTCCATCCTCAAGGCCATGGTCTTGAGCTCACCCTGTGGACCCATAAAGCCTTAATTGAACATCCAAACTGACTGCAGAGCTATAGCAGCTAAGTGTGTGGTGCTGGACAGGACAGAGATCAATGGAGAGATTCTGAGCCCCAAAACAAACCCACACAAGGAGACAGGTGCCAACCTCTCACTAGGGAAAGGACAGCCTTTTCAATAAATGGACCCTTAACTAACACCATGTGCAAAAATTAAGACATAAATCACTGAAACTTCAGGGCAAATCTTTGTACCTTATATTTGGCAAAATATCCTCAGATCTAATACCAAAAGCTCAAGCAGTGAAAGAAAAAATTTAGACATCATGAAAAATAGGCTTGTGTGCTTCTGAGGACACCACCAAAAAAGGAAAAAGCCAACCACAGAATGGAGGAAATACCAGCAAGTCGCATCTCTGATGGCCTAGTATCCAGAGTATCTATGGAACGCCTTCAACTCCAAAAGTATAAATGTACCACCTTTTGTTTACCTCACAGTTGCTTAACCCAAGGAAAAAATGGGCAAAGGCTCTGAAAAGACTCCAAAGAAGGGAGACATGGCAGATAAGCCCAGGGAAAGGTGCTTCTCGTTAGCCAGCAGGGAAAGGCAAAGTCAAACCACGGGGACGGGTAAAACGTCAGACCAGAGGGCCCGCGAGGAGGTGGCAGAGCAGCGGGGCTGCAGTGGAGCCGTCGCCGTGGAAACAACCCGAGAGTGAAAGCAAGGGTTACCTCAGGGCCCAGCAAGCACATCCCTGTGTCTATCCAGGAGAAATGGAAACTTGTGTGTTCAGAGTCTTCTATGTGAATATCCATAGCAGCATTTTTTATAATAAAAACAAACCCAAATGTCTATCACCATTTGGAACTGTTGAATAAAAGGTGGCATGAATCATAACCATAGACAGACCTAGCACTAACCCTAACACTAGACTTAGCCCTAACCCTAACCCAACACTAACATTAACCCTAGCCCTAGCCCTAGCCCTAACACTTTACCAAGTCCTAACTCAATCCCTACCTCTAAACCTAACCCTAGCCCTACCCATAACTCCTAACAACCAAAAAGTTAAACTATTCTGCCATAAAAATAAGTTGTGACACATACTACAACATGGATGAACTTTGATAATATGCTGAGTGAAAGAAGCCAGTCACAAAGGCCACCCTGATTTCATTTATGTGGAATTTCCAGAACAGGCAAATCTATACAGCAGGTGGTGGCTGCCAGGAGCTGGGCAATGAGGGGAATGGACAGTGACTGCTAATGGGTACAAAGAGCATGTTCTAACATTGTGATGATGGCTGCACAACTCTAAACATTACCGAACCACCACACTGTACACTTAAAATGGGTGAATCTTGTGTATGAATTCTCTCTGTAAAGCTGCTAAAAAAGAACAAAAATTCAGCTAACGTTATGGCAGGCATATTCCACTGTGCAATTTGCTCAGGCCACTGCCAACTGCCTGCCCCTAACAGGGCAGAGTTCACTATCCCCTCTCTAAGAAGCCCCTCCGGCTGCCAGGGAGAGTTCTAGAAATGCTCTCTGGCCCACAGTGGCTCTCTGGCCTCATGTTGCCATGGTTTCTGAGCCCAAGGAGGGGCCGCCAGTGTTTGGTTCTCGCAGTTCCCGTCGGCCCCAATGGGGAGTGACCAGTGTCCCCTCTCTACCCTCGCCTTGGGCCCAGGCACCTTTTCTGTCTCTCGGCTGCACTTGATGATGAAGATGTTGGCATAGATGTCCTCCACGCACATCCAGTTGGACAGGGACAGCGTGGTGTCTGTCCAAACCCAGTCCATCACGGCCCGCAGCTCCACCAGGAACGGCACCAGCCGGAACCTACCCGAGACGGGGGACCCATCAGGAGGGGCTGAGGGAGGGCAGCCTCGACCGCCCCCTTGGGCCGGCCCACACTCACCCCTGGAAGAGGAAGAGGTTGAGGTGGTTGTACTTCTTGGTGAGGAAGTTGCCAAGGATGCGAGTGGGGTAGCCACAGCGGATCTGGTAGGCGGACAGGGCGAAGTAGATGCACTTCACAAAGTACCACAGCTGGGCTACTGTGTTCTGGCTGAACATCCTAGGTGGGACAGGAAGCCCAGATCAGGGCACCCCGCCCGAGTCCAGTAGCTGGAGACCCCAAAGTCCCTGGGCCCAAATGCAGCTCTGCCAGGCACCACAAAGCACGTCTCTGCAGGCTGGGTCTGACCCCCAGCACCCACCTCTCGGTGACAGCGGGCAAGATGAAGAACATCCAGACATGGATGGCCAGCACCAGGACGACCTGGAAGGCCAGCTTGCCCAGCACGGTCTTGCGTAGGTAGAGGGCACGGTCGATGACCATAGTGCTGAACTGGATCAGCAGCATGACCAGGAAGGCTTCCGGAACCTGGTCATCTGACAGGGAGGACGTGATGTCCGTAGCCGCTGAGTGCTTCTGTGGCCAGGAAAGGAAGGGTCAGGGAGAGCTGGGGTGGCCGCTGGGCTCTGCGCTCACAGGGGCCCCTGAGCCCAGCTCACCCCAAAGGCCCAAAAGCCGAACATGATGATGATGAAGTCGACCACGTCAGCCAGGAACATGAGGGCATAGACGTCGGTGGCTGCACGGTATTTGGTGTGCAGGATGTCGTGGAAGAAACGCCGCAGGGGCCGGTACACGCTCTGGGCCCTGGGACGGGCAGAGGGAGCTCAGCTCAGGACCTTGGTTGCTCCCACCCGCCCCTCCCCTCGGCCACTCCCAGGTTGGTCACTCACAGGGACACGTCCCGAGAGGCGGCTGCTGCCTCCTGCTCCTCATCCTCCGTCTCAGCTTCTGTGGGGGAGGAGTCACCACGGATGGACTGAGGCCTAGTCCAGCTCCTGACCATCCCGAGAGCCCCCCGAGGGGCTGCCATCACCCCATTTCACAGACCAGCAGGCTAAGCACAGGCCCCCCCACCACCAGCAGTGGGCCCCTGGGGCTGCATCCTCTGGCTGGGGTGGCGATTCCCATGTGAGAGCTGGGTGGGCTGGGGGGGTTGCAGATTGACAGGGACATGTACCAATGGCTGCCGGTCCTTTGGGTTCTGCCATCTCCTTCCTCCTCCTCCTGAAACGCAGACCGATGCGCTTCGTGTCGTGGGGCCTGATCTCCACGTGTGGCTCTGAGGGCCCATCTCTCACTTCTACTTGGATGTCATCCTCGGCGGTGGCCCCAGCCGCCCCCAGCTCCTCCTGGGGCCCTGTGCTCTCCGCAGTCTGGAGTCCCAGCAGGGCTGGCTCCTCCTCAGGCTCCTCCTTCCCCTGGCCCCCATCAGGCTCCTTGGACAGCGGGTCCTCCTCGTGGTCCCAGAGGCCATAGCACTGTGGAAGGAAGGAAGGAGGGCCTTGGGGGGCAGGCGTGGCGGCACGGGCCGCTCTCGGACCAGGCAAGATGGCCAGGCCCACCCTGAGACCCACAGTGTCCAGCTTCGCCCCCTGGAACAAGATGGCTGAGAGGTGCCCGCCTGCTGCCCACCTGCCCTGGCACCTGGCACTCACCAGCAGCTGGGAACGATGGAAGAAGAGGGCCAGGAGCTGCACCAGGTCGTACTTGATGTAGCCGTCAGTCTTCTCCAGGCCCAGGATGCGAGGCGGGAAGTAGGGCTTGTTCTCGTAGCGCCGCAGCACCGTGTGGCTGTTCCAGGGGAAGAAGCCAAACTGGAACAGGTATTTGGTGACCACCATGACCTGCGGGGCAGCGGGGCTCAGCATGGCGGGCGGGGCCAGGACCACCCCTCCGCCCCCCAGGCCGCTGCCCACCTCCGTGAAGACGATGGCCGTCATCCAGAAGCGCTTGCTGGGCCGGGGGATGGACAGCATGGCCCACAAGAAGACCAGCACAGGCAGCACGAGGGAGGTGGCCGAGGCGGTGACCATATGGTTGAGAACAATGATGAAATAGCAGAGCAGCTCAGAGTGGGCAGCCACGCACTGGTACACGGCCTGCAGCAGCCGCAGCGCCCGGCCCTGCCCGGCCTCAAACTGCTCAGCCTCCTCCAGCTCTGGGATGCGCAGGCACCTGCAGGGTCCATGTTCAGGTAGGTTCTGGCCCCAGGCCTAGGCCCACCTGCCCCCGGCCCCACCAGCCACCCCTCGCACACACCTGTCAAGGAGCAGCTCGCTGGCTGTGCGCATCCGGGTCCGCGTGCTGGCGGGAAGCTCTCGGGAGCCGTGTAGAGAAGCCCTGGGCTCGGTGACCATCTCCTCACTGCCACTGCGGGTGTTGTAGCCCGTGCTCAGGGGGCTGCTGGGGTCCTCGGGCGTGCTGCTTATGGGCTCTTCTGCCCCCAGCCCGCTGTGGGAGGGGAGGCTGGTCACAGACGGCAGGAGGGCCTCAAGGTCCCTGCCGGACAGGGGCTGGGAGGCTATGTGCCCAAGCATAGCCGCTGGGGTGTCCCTGGCTCTGGGCCTGAGAGCAGGTCAGATGCAGTGGGTCCTGGTTCCCACTTGAGCCCCTCAGCCCATACCTACCTCGAAGCTGTGCTAGGCACATCGCGTGCCTCCGAGGGGCCTGTTGGCATGGTCTTAGCCTCACTTGAGTATAGCTGGTCCAGCACTCCCCGGTGCACCTCTCCACCCTGCAGGGCACACAAGGAGGGTAGGGAGGTGGTCCTCCCGGTGTGGGAGTGGAGGGGTGGGGCAGGCACAGGGGTAAGGTAGTGTGGCAGGGCATGGTGGCAGGGGTAAGGGTGTGATGGGGTCGCAGTATGGTGGCACCCACCCTGAGTAGCTCCTGTGTGAGCAGGTAGCGCTCAGCACGCAGCACGTTACTCATGGCGCGGTGGTGCCGAGTGAAGGTGTACAGCCAGCGCGTCAGCCCGTCCACCAGCGCCTGTCCCAGCACCCACAGGAACTGCATGGTGCTCAGCACCCGCTGCATCACATGGCTCCGGCCTGCAGGGAGGGGGATCGGCGTGAGAATCCTGGAGGGGCAGCCAGCGTGACAACCCCAACCCCGAACCCCAGGGCCCACGTACCTGCCACCTCGTCTGCTGGACCCTCTGCCAACTCCGCCTCTGGACGCGGGCCGCCTCCTGGGCATAAGGGAGCTGGTCAGCGCCTTGTAGCCCTACATTCCCCACCCACTACCCGCACTCAGCCGGACTCACCCACAAGCAGTTGTGCCTGCTCCTGCCGCCGCCGCCTCAGCACCGTCTGGGCGTTGGTCACCCAGGCCTGGTACGCCATCTGCAGGACAGGGCCTCGGGTTAGCACCCGCTTCCCAGGCCCAGGCGCCCTGGGCTCACCTCTGAGCTCCAGAGGAAGAGGAGGAGCCAGGGGTCAGCGCAGCGGAGGACCTGCAGCCTGAGCCGGGGCAGGAAGTGGGCCCCATGGGGCTGTTGTGGGAGGAAAGGGCAGTTTGCACAGCCCACCCGGCACATCACGGTTCTCACTTAGCACCCAGGCCTCAGGCCAGAACCAGGGACACAATGGTGGACAAGAGGCTCCTGGCTCAGAAGACAGACATGCAACCAGCAAACATAATGAGCCCTCTTGAAGGCCAGGCCACCGGCGGCCACCACAGACCTGGGGGTCAGAGCTGGGACCACAGGAGGAGGTGGACAGAGGCACACAGCTGCCATGACCTGTGGTCCCCACGGACTGCTGTCCCGTCTGGCTGGTAGACTCTGGAGGTCTGAACGGGGCTGGGCACCTGTCCTCCCTGTGCTGGCCTGGCCCAGGTACTCCATGGACAGGGGAAGGCAGCCAGGGGACCCTTCCTCCTCACCTGGAAGGCACTCTGTGCCGATGGCCTGGGATCCTCGGGCTGGGCCTCCTCCTCCTCCTCACTGTCAGACTCGAACAGGAAGTAGTCCCCAGAGTGGATGACTGTGGGCAGTGTGGGGTTCAGCTGGCCGTCCCCCACGTGGGGTTGGGCTCTGCAAGACTCTCATGTTCATGGGTTTGGGGGGGCAGTAACAGCATCCTGTGACCCCAGGGGCCAAGGCCCGCATGCCCCTAACCCCCCTCCCCAGGGCAGCCTCAGTGGCTGGAGGCAGGGAGCAGCAGGCTGGAGGACGGAGGCGCATGCACAGGACACAGGCCAGAGTGGCGGGACGAGACCAGACGGGACGAGAGGGACACAGGGAGGGGCCAGGAGAGGAGAGGCTGGGAGTGGGTAGTGGTAGTTCAGACTTCGGAATCCCCGAGTTATAAAATGCAGAGCCGGTTGTGGGGGGCCCAGCCCCTTGTTACTGCACGGCCGGCACCGAGGCTGCAGGTCAGTACCGGCAAGCTGTACGCCCCAAAGGCAGTAGCAACTGAGAGGTGAGGGGGTACCCAACACACAGCAGCTTGAGAGAGTGGTCATGGCAGCCAGGCTGGGGCAGTACCTGTGGCGTGGTCCAGCCAGGGCCGCCACCACTGTGTCCGTGGTGGGGAGGAGCCCCCTGGACGGCTGGGACCTGTGAAGGGGAGGGGGTGGCGAGCATGAGCCAGCAGGGAGAGTCATGGAGAATGAGGGTGTCCCCTACAGCAGAGACACACAGAGCCCCTTCAGTGACCAGCACCCTCCCATGGTGCTATGCGGTGGAGGACAGCCCACACGTGCAGACGGACAATCACTGGCAGGCTGTGCGGCCTGCAGGGACAGAGAGTGACCACATGGCACAGGACAGGTGGGCCGGAAGCCCTGTGACGTCACGTGGCACAGACGCGGACAGGCTCCAGCGGCACAGATGCACCAGTGCTCGGGGCCCTGGGGGCTCGATCCACTCACCTGGCTCCTGGCCGGGGTCCAGGGCCTCCTGGGAGTGGCCGAGGCCCACCGGGCCCTGCCTGTGCTTTTCCTGCTTGGCGCGGATACGTTCCATCCTGCGGGTGGGAGACGACTCTGAGCATCGGGCCAGACAGGAGAACACCCCGACCCATCCCGGTCCCCCAGACGGCACCTACTGTCTTTTCAGCTGGGCCAGGGACTTCTCCTCGACCTTGCGGTGGTAGTCGATGCTTTTGAGGTTGGCAGCGTTGTACAGGGCGAAGCCCCTGGGGGAGTCGGTGAAGCCAGGGGTGAGCGCCAGGCTTACGAGCTCCTTCCTCTGGGCTTAGCCCACCTCCCAGCCGCCCAGGTCCTCCCTGCTCACAGGCTAGCTCTCCAACATGACACCCCATCTGTACTGCAGTGAGAGGGAGGGGGCCCCCTGCCACCTCGTCTCATGGGGTAGAAAACGTGTAAATGAAGAGGTGGCCATGGGGCCGACAGAGGCCAGGGATGGGGAGACGTGCTGGCTCACTGGCCAGGCAGGGGTGGGTGGGGCAGGCTCTCTGGTGGAGTGCACCTCAGGCCAGCGTCGGGCAATAGTAGGACTGAAACGCCAGCCCACAGACAGCTAGGGCTGAGACCACATGCCGTGGACAGTGTGCACTCAGGCCCTGAGGAGTGCTGATGACCCGTGGCCCTCAGTCGCTCTAGGAGACGTGTGACATCGGGCACAGTGCCCTGCCCTAGAGGGGCCCAGGGGATCCAAGGTGGGGCCAACCTGGAGGCCTGCAGAGCAGTGGCCTGGAGCTCAGCCTTGACATGCAGGAAGTAGTAGCTGAGGAAGACACGGCGCTGCAGCAGCAGGAACAGGAAACAGACACTGTCCCAGAGGACGCCAGCCTCCTCCACTGGCAGCAGGCAGTCCTGGTCCCTGCCCAGCATCTCCTTGGCTGTGAGACAGGGGCCAGCACGGGTCAGGGGTATGACCGGGGTCAGGAACACGGGTGGAGTCAGGGGTGTGGGGCAGAGGTTGGGGACCTGAGTCAGAGGCAAGGCTCAAGCACATTTGTTGAGGATCAGGATGCAGATCAAGACCATGGGGTGGGGGTGTGGGGAACGGATGGGGGACTGGGTCCCTGAAGCAGTGCGTGTCCCTGACACCCCCAGCCACCGGCCCTCTCCCACTCACGGTCATAGTAGCCTTTGACTGTGCACACGAGGCTGAACAGCTGGATGACCCAGCAGAAGCTGCTCTGCATTTGCTCCACGAAGACACAGGACAGGAGCTGGGGGCGGGAGGAGGGTCAGCCAGCCTACGGGATTGGGTTTGGGGCTGGGGCTGGGGCTGGGCAGGCTGGCCGGCCGGCTCACCGAGAGCATGTTCTTGGAGATGATGACGGTGACGTTGTAGAGGATGAGGCAGTCCCACAGCACGAGGCGGGGACGCGTATCCTTCTGCAGCAGGGAGGTGCCGAAGAGCAGCAGGTAGAAACAGGCCAGCAGGTAGCCCAGCCCGAAGACACTGATGCGCGTGGCCCCTGTGATGAACACCACCACCAGCACCAGCCAGAAGAGGTAGCGGAAGACAGCGACTTTCAGCATGTCGAGGTAGGACCTGCCGGGCGAGGTGCCGGTTACCCCACCGCCCCCCGCAGCCTCGGGCCAGAGGAACTCCCGGAGGCCCCTCTGCTGCAAGGTCAATGTCCGCCCCTCGTCTTGTCCCAGGACACCGCCGGCTGCACTTGCCCCAGGTTCCGTCCTAGCCAGGTGTGTCCGTCAGCCCCGCAGCCCCAGACTGGGCTCTGCAGGCTGGCGACACCCCGGGACCCACCTACAGTGAACGAAGTTGGGCACGGGGTTGGGCTCCCCCCGCAGAGGCTCCAGGTGGTCGGTGTTGACGCCGGCCATGTGCTGCCACTCCTCGGTGCGCTCAGCCAAGAACACCTGCCACTGCTGGGAGGCGCAGAGCAGCAGCAGGAAGTCACCTGCGGATACACGGGAGGCCGCTGCCGCACGACCCCAGGCACCGCTGGCCTTGCGGAGGCCTGGCCCACGACCGGCACAGAGCACGGACCCCGTACCCAGACCAGAGAGAAGCATGGTGTGTGCGTGTGGGGGCTGGGCAGACACATGTCTACGAGTGTGAACATGGCGGGTGATGTCCATACATGGATATGGATGTTGGGGATCATGCCTGTGTACATGTTCTGTGTATCTGGGCACCACATGCACATTAGGAAATGAGTTAACGTGCCTGACTGCACACCCGTGGGCATCAGTCTGTGCACACCTGCATCTGTCCCTCTGCCCACCTGCATCCACTCCAACATCCATACCTACAACCATCTCTGCATCCACACCTGTGTGCACACCTGCATACACACCTGATGACAGGGTGTGCACATGTGAGCAGGGCCTCAGTGCCATGGGACTATCCTGCAGGACTAGGCGCACCCATGAAAGGACCCCGCCCCCCCGCTCCTCCCCGTCCTGCCGGGGAACCACAGCATTGGGCCAGCTGGCAAGGCCGGGACAACGCACTCCTTGATAGCTGGAGGGAGCATCTGCGCTTGCCCGCTGCCTGTGCAGAACCTCCTTGGCCTTCCATGAGGCTGGCGGGTGGCGCATGTGGACAAAGGGCCCGGCCAGTGGGCACTCACTGATGAGGTTGGTGGAGTTGGGGGCCATGAAGAAGTCAGGCAGGTACAGCCACTTGATGAGCACCGAATTCATGGGGATGGCCTGGCTCCAGCGCCAGGGGTAGTCTGTGGGTAGAGGGAGCGTGTCAGGGCTCCGGACAGCCTATCCCTTTCCCATTGGCTGGCCCACAGCCTCTAGGGGTCCAGTGTCCACGGTTCTTCATCCACATCCACATTCACACAGTCAGCCTCAAAAACACCACCACTCTCCCTTGGAGTCCGAGAGCATACAGGTCCAGAGCTCCCAGCACATGCTTAACTACACGTTTCCCAGGGATAGACCGCACCCCAGGCCCCCATGGGAGCAGCTGTATGAAGCTAGAGGGCGGCAGGCGGGCAGGGCAGTCTCCTGAGTGCTGGCCGTGGTATGGCTGGACCACTCGAGACGTCATTGCACACTTATCAGAACGGCTAATACTATAAAAATAGCGACACCGCCAAATACTGGCGAGGGTGTGGAAGGACTGGATCACACACATGCTGCCGGTGGAGATGTGAAATAGGACAGCCTCTCTGGGGCTTTCATGCCAGAGAAATGAAAACTATGCCACGCAAAAACCTAGACACCAACGTTCCCAAACCGGAAATGAGACGTCTCCCTGTGTGAAAGGTCAAACCAACTATGGTACATCCAAACACTATACGGCCCGGCACGGAAAAGGAAGTACCGATACACTCAACACAGGGCAGGCGGGAAACGCCCGGGGCACTGCATGCGGCCACCGCCACGCCCGGCTCCCGCCTTCCTCCTGCCCGCTCCCGCCCGCCCCCGCCCACAGCCTGCGCCCTGCTCACCA